TTTGGTAAGGAATTTGGATGTACTGTTGAGGCAAATGTTGTTTAGTTTATTCTTCTACATGACATATTTGTTTTTTATAATTTTTGAAAATATTTGTTGTTGTTTTTTTTGTTTTTTTTTTGGTTCCGAGTTCGGCCGAACGTTCGAACGCGTCGAGAGGGGGTCCCAAACGTTCGGGCGTTCGGGTTCGGGTGTTCGGCCCGTCCCAAACGCCGGCAACCCTGTATATATATATATATATACATATATATATATATATATATATATATATATAAAATTTTACTTTGTCCGTCTCTTTGCCTGTATATATATCTATTTTTTGCTCAGTCAGACTGCAAAGACTGATGGCGAGGCTGTATACTACCCCGTAGGGTTACATTTGTAATTTTGTTCGGCTGAGGGCTAACCGTGAAACGAACCTGTGAGGAAAATTCGTGAGGGCCATATCTGTAAATATGGGAAATATAGGCCCAGCAGTATTTCGAATTTCCTATACGAACCCTTGTTGCGAATAGCAGGCCCGGACTACCCCCAGGACAGACAGGCCCTAATGACCTAAGCTGATAGATGGTTCTATAGCCTATAGTCGGGTCCGGTAGAGACCGAGAGGCCGAAACTGCAACAGTATTGGTCGGTTAGTCAGTCCGGTCTAGGTGTAGGTTAGAGTACTATACTCCATTAGTAGAATCAGGGAAATCGATTGGGGAGCAAGGGACTGGAACAAACTCAGTTATATTATTCGTTGGAGCTGGCTCATCATCAACATCATATCAATTGTAATCTTGCTGAGGTTCTTTATTGTGATTGTTTGTTGGGATTCTGTCGAAAAGTGAGAGTCATTGTGTGACCTCCCCCATGTGTGCATGGTTGAATTCCAATGCTTATCCTTGTCTGTGTGCAATTCTGACTCTGTCACCTCTCCCCCTCTTCTTATTCATGTGTGGGCGTGTTTGAGATTGTCCGTGTGTGAGTGGCGAAAAAAATTATCAGACAACGAAGTGAGATATATCAGCCTCCTGATGAGTCGGTGAAACTCCGACGAAACAGTTTGTCACAGCCCCTCGTTTGTTGTCCTCTTCTCCCTCTCTGCCTACGGTTTACCGGGCAGTTCTATTT